AGCTATTTATTATTAGCATTGTTCTTCCGACGTCTGATTTCTTTTTAATTATAGGAAATGCGTTTTTCTAAAGTACATAAACTTTTGGGATTGACTGTATAGCCAACACATCCTTAAGAAGGTAGACCCCGATAACGACGCGATAAGGCAGAATGTTAATATTGGCCATTAAATTGGCTAAAAATATGTAAGAAGCGAATGGTGAAAGCGATAAAAGAAATCAGAAAACGTAATTTATTGCCAAAATGGATACTTCATGGTGTAAGGGTAACTGGTACACAGAGTATGAAACCATTAATAAAAAATGCGCAAAATAATAATCATATCCTGGTAAGAGGTGAAACGAGTACTTAGGATAGAATTTACTTCGTAATGAAAATAGGTAAAAATGCGGGACGATGTTTTGGCTTGTTTAATTATTTAAGTTCGAGATTCGTGTTAACAGGCAGTATATCACTGTCTTTTGTACGCGGCGTGCATTATCTACTATCAGATGTCTCGGATAATACGCGTTCACTAGTCTGTGAAATGATTATGTGCACCGTGTGTATACGAAACTAAATTCACCAGAGACGTCGTTACGTAACAAATCATAAATCTCGTAGTCAGTAAGCGTACATAGCATAATAGTTGGAAAATCGAGGCACACTGACTCACTGCAATTGCTGATGCGCTCGTACCCTCATACATGTGAGATTTACAAGCGTAAGTACCATCGTACATACTATATGAATATCGTATGTAACGCGTTTTGATTGTGCCTACAATTTATAGACCAATGATATGTTCATCGATGATGTCTCGTCCCATGAGTCATGTTGTTTATCCGAGATTACTACAATTTATCAAGGCTGCCGTGGGCCACAGGCCATTATCAACTCTTAAACTATCTAACAATTTTATTTGGGCGAATCAGTAAACAACCGTATTTCTTAAACGGCATCTCTTCTCGCATCGTTGTACGAGCATGGCCCTTATTAGCCGACGAAATATAAAATGCGACAGTGTATGTTTAATAGTGGATCACGGGTATAATTTACAAGATAAACGTGTGGATAGAAAGCAGGGATAAGGAAACTCGTGGTACTACACGGATCGTCCGACGGGAACCAACTACTGGCGACCTGCTTTTTTACCGAATATTAAATTGCGATGAGAAATTATGATCGCGTCGCGGAACAGTGTTCCAGATGTATATCAGGAGATAATCGGAATGATCGCGCGCGAACGGAATACCGCTCCCGAACCAATTATCGTCTCTCAAATATCCACAGCGGTATCGGTGCGCTTCGGGCATCGAAGATGCAAATAACAACATGCCTGTTGGAGATCAAGCGCAACGACAATATTCGACTGGCATTCATTAATGATCCGTGTTAATCGTGCATCAATAATGCAAACTGTAAATGATTTCGATACCGTCTATCTGACGAAATTGTCTGTATCGATTTTTAAATTGGATTTATCCGAGACGGAATGATAAATCCCGCGGATCGTATATTACTAAACGATAAAAGAGCAGTGCATGTGGAACAGGACGGAGAAAACGGACGGAGAGGGTGTAACGGAAGAACGAGGCCTCGCAGACGGCTGCTCGAACGCAACCTTCGCCCCCGGCGGGACCACGGTCGACGAAACACGCGCTCAACAATAAGAAACATCGAGTGAAGAAGCGAGGAACGATGGAAAACGAAGGAGAAAGTAATGCAGGAAGAAAGAGCAAGGCAACGTTCGGTTGTGTACGGTATAATTACAGAGGGTAGAGCGGTGGCTAGACCCACTGCAGCAACTTATCGTGGCCCAAGGCGGCAGCATACTCGAAATCGGCGGGACTCGATCCTGTTGCGACTTGGTCCTAATTCGTATTCGTGCCTCGGGTGTGTAGCGGATAGTATACGTCTCGAAAAACGGCGGAAGGACTGCCAGGAATCTTCTATGTTACGCCTTCCTACCTATTCTGCGGCTTTCTTCTTATCTCGGCTTAGCAATGCAAATCTTGATGGTTAATAGCAAAACCTACCGGTTCTGCGATTTAGACAGAATTCCCGCTGAACATATTATAATGCAATGTTCTCCAAAGAGTATTAAAAAAATTACTAGAATCGTATGTACATCATTTTACGCTTCCCGTCTTCCGCGAATTTCATGTCTCCAATAGCAATATAAAACGTACGAGATTCGCGGTGAATTTATTT